GGGCCTTACGATCAAATTAAATTAGTCTTTTCCTATACCTTTGTTATATGATCACTTGATTTGAGCATTCTCCTTTGTAAAATTTATTTAAGGAACACTTTTAGCCTTTTATTTTTGTGTCCAAGCCTCTGTATTGTACAAAAATAGTTACGCAATAATAAGAAGGAGACTCGGTAATATTTGTCTTGCCTCTTTTCTCCCCGCCTAACTTTTCGTTTGGATTGTTAGGCTGCCCGCATGCCATATTGGCTTTGTAATCAGGATGATATAAAATAATTTTCTTCTCAACGCCAGCAGTGAAACGGCGATAGTCGGTTCAAGTGATATCGTTTTAACCACGGCAAAAAAATCACCTGGTCATTGATCAACGGATTATTTGCCTTTCAACAGCTACCTGGCCGTAGTCGCGGTTACCTCAATGGCATCAGTTATTCCACCATCGTTTTACCTCACGCTACATTCTCCCTGTTCACTTACCCCTTCACAAATTTTCAATTCTTCAAATCCGTGCCTTAAATCGGATTGCTCCGGTGCTACTTTAGCTTGTTTGAACCACACCTTCACGCATATTTGTGCTTTTTGACAGTTACAAGGAGTTCTAACTTTACATAAGGTAGTTCGCCATTGTTTTGCACTTTATGTGATTCATTCTACTTTTTTGTTTCAGAAATTTCGATGAAGTTGCCCTTGGCTACCTTATTCGAGCCCTTTGTAGCATCGCCACTGAGGCATGTGAATTCGCAAATTCAAACCGAGTAAGCATTTCTAAAACCTTTACAGAGAAATCGTTGTTTTTCATAGCCTTATTTACCCTTTTACTCGCCCGTTATTACTCTTAACTTAAGCAAAATAAACTGTTACTAGTAAACGGAATCTCGTCCGATTCACCTACTAATCTTTTGTATCTTATATTGTTCATATTTTCGTGAGAGCCTCGAGATATTTTCCTTCAACACAGCTCTCATTGCCCCCTGCTATACCTCAAATCTGCGTCCATTTTGTGGATTCCCTCTTCCCAACTAAATAGTGTATTAGTACTCCTTTCTCATGCACATCAAACGTTTGCTGCGGAAGGGATTGTTGTCAATAATGCCCAAGTCCAGTAAGATTGTAATGAAACCGGCTGTTTATCTCTTACTTCCGTTAAGACCCATGTCTTGTTCTGTTTGAGCTATTGTGGACCTCATTGCTCTGATGGGTACTCATGCGCGTGTTGCTATCGGACGAACAAGGTTAAACACTCTTTCTGTTAAAATCATGCTGTCGAATTTTTGCGGAGCTAATTTAAAATGCACTTTTGCATGCTGGAAAATTGCTCTTTATGGCCGATTCATAGACGGTAATTTGTAACTGATGCTGCAAGTTGTTGAGTCGAGTAATTAACACAAAGTAAACCACTAGCGGTATTGCTTGTACGCTTTAGACTTGGTTACATAAACCATTTGTTTTTTTCCCGGTACCAGAAATATCTCTGCTTCCATTAGCCTGATTAATAATTATCTTAGGCTTAGGTCTTTTAGTTGTATTAATTACATTGCTTTGATTTTAAAGCCTTTGAATTTCACAGGGAATCTTGTTTATTCACAATTTTTCTTTTTAAAAGGAGCGCATTGGGATTTTTTAAGGCCGGCTGCTCATTTGAATAAGTCATAACTGAAAATCGGGATACTTCCTTTGCCACCCTCTGCTGAGATGTGTGGTCGATGAATTTCTTTCTCCTGCCAGAGCGATGTTTGCCAGTTGCTGGCGCAGTGACTTAATTTTAACTTGATTTTCGGAGTCATGTAAGATCCTTTCCCTTTAAGACTTGATTTTTGTGCTTACACATTTGCTCATATTCCCCAGTATACAAACGTTCCACTTATTGTGACTGTTTTATGGGCAGCCATAGACACTGGAAATCGAATATTCTTAGTTGTTTTGGCCTGTTTTTAACTGCAATTATATTTTTTGTTGGATGACCCTTTCTTTTGTCCTTGTGAGCAATGTTTTCCCTCTCTAATACCCCCCAAATATGGACTTTTTCTTAATATGATGCACTGCTACTCAACACAGTGCAAGTTTACGGTTTTCATCGCATAAACATTTCTTAATCAAAGCCATTCTCGTCTGTCTTGGTCCTCAATTTCCTTGTTTGTACTAAGATGCACGAAGTGTAGTAACGCCTTGATGCCCACTTTGAAGGCTCCATTAATCACTTATCAGTCTTTTCTCTGTCATGACTCAGATCCTCACTAACTAAAATCGTCTCCTTGCTTCCGTCACTTTATTCTGTTGCCGAATGTTCGTACATGGCTTATAACTCACTGTTTTGAAACTTTGGAGCGTAAAATCACTTATTTTAATCCACTGTCTGATTGTATTTTCGCTCAAGTTTTCTCCAGGCTGCTAGTTTGTATTTTCTAAGCTTTCCTTTACAAAGTCAGACCTGCATCTGTAGTGAATTCAAAAAACGTTAATAACGAACAAGACCATCTCCTTGTCCGGTCTGATAAGGTTTGTTGAGGAATGCCGATTAAGCATACTGCGCATTAGCGGCAATGCCATCCTACTTTTCGCATGACTAACTTAAGGTTACCTTTTATGCGTGTTCCGGAAGGATCCCAGTCATTTTTCCGTGGTGAAACTGGCTGAAGTTGGTCTGGCGAATCTTCATCGGCTCAATGTCTGGTGGGAGACGATCAACAACCAACTTCTAACGGTGAGTTTTACCTCTAACGCTCTATGTTCGCAAACGCAAAAGAAAAAAAACATGTGTCGCCTTTGTACAATTCTATCGAATCACTTTAGTGATATGCCATGAACTAGGTATTCACGTGTTTATCCCATCTCTATTAACTCGTTTTGTTCAAATTTTGTGCTCAATTCGTTAATCCTCCTATAAATGAATTTGAATCTTTATATTGCCTAAAAATGTAATCATTCTGTTGACAAACTTGCTTTCCCGCTTCATAATCTGTTCCTTGCATTTCTTGCAGCTCATTCGACGTCTATTTAAGACCAAAATAGATACGTGTTCCTTTTAGGACCAATAGCATAACTATTTTGCCCAGACTATTTTGCTCCGTCAGTCCAATAAGCCTGGATGCTGCTCCCACGACGTTCTGTGCCATGTCTCACCACTACTGAAACTTGTTCAATCTTGCCGGTGGTAATAGGGTCGGTACCACGTGCTCGCCCTGGTCCCCCTGCTCCCCCACTGCCCGATCGGTAGCATGAGGCGCAACTACCGCCTGAGACGAGGGGATGGGGATCAAGGGCAGTCGCACATGTGAGCGCGCACCCGAGTAACACCTTGTTAACGGTTGACCAGTGTTTAGTTAGAGCCTCCATATATGAACTAATGTCCTTCAAGTGTGCCTGGGTGTTTTTTTCGTATCCTGTGTCTACGGTTGGTTAATAGGCCCGTTGTCATTTTGTTCTTGTTTTCTGCCAACTGGGATGCAGCTGCTTTGCACTAACCAGATTCTTCGGGTGTTCGTACTTTTACGACAAATAGGCACTTTAGTGAAAAATGGTTATGTTGTCTGTGCCGCATTTCAAATCACTTTATCCTGTTATTTTGCCACTTATTTGGATGCAGTCTTGTTTACTCGAGCCAATCGACGGCGAATAATCATTTCAGATAACCTGTTTACTCAAGTGTTATATACCTATTACTAGACAACTTCACCTCTCTTATCGTTTACGTACTTAGCACTACACTAACAACGGCAAGTCTACGTTTGAATACCTATTTTATTTCATTACGAAAAATATGTTGCGAAAATCCCCCGAGTCTGGCACATGCACGTGAGTTATTTCCCAGCATCGTTCAATTGCCCATTACCACTTGTTACCACTCTTTGCGCTAGTTACATTTTGAATGCCAGATTCGAATTTTGCTGTCTGTTTCATCGTTTCATTCTCTGATCCTCTTTTGAACATATCTTCCAAACTCGATGTGTTGACGCTTCCTCTAAAAGCTTCTTCCATAAAATGTAGCTGGCAACGCGAAGGCGTCCCGATATCGGTGCTGCGAGCCACATATAGCTAGCTATAATGAGCTTGGAATTCACAAACTCCCACTAGCTATAGGCATGGTTTCAAATTTTTTGAAGTCTTAGTCTTTCAGGTCTATCTCACTTTGATTCTCCTAGGAGCTTTGGAACTGTCTCTTGTTTTTTAAAGGGCCTCAGACCAGACGATAATTCTCCACTTTCCCCATTTATTCCGTGTTGTTCCGATTTTAAGTGGAAAGCGGTTTTATTGATAGTGAATGAGCGCATTTTACATTGTCTGTAAATATTCATTTTAATTGAGGTTGTTTTAGGGGACTAATGGATATTTTCGGCTGGCAAAGCAATCGAAGCCGCTTATTAGTGACTTTGAAACTCGCTTGCATTTACCATGGGGTCTATTTAATTCATCTGAGTCGACTGTTCAACTCTGTGGAGTAACCGCTTTTCTTCAGGTGGTTCATCCTAACTAGTTTTTGCTTGCACAGTGAAAATTGAACTAACCTATGTGCCCACGGAGCTTGAATGAAATTCCACTAATTTCATTTCCCATTCTACAAAGTGCGCTTGACTAAGTTGATGTAAGTATAGTGATAAACTCAAATTCCTCACTCATTTTCCAAACTATTTAGGAACTTTTAGCTGCATTTTTTTAGCATTTATGCTAGCTTTTACCACCTACTCGTTTACAAAGACGGGCGCTTGATGAAACATAATGGTATGCCATGCAATAAATTCGAATGGATTTGCGTTTCGGTTTTTGAATTTGTGTCCTATAGCTGTTATTTACTTAAGATTTACGTAACAAATCCCTTTTTACTGTTACCGTAGTTTGCTGATTTCTAATTTGGCGATGCTTCTGAAAGGACTGTTTAGTTAGAAGGAAATAGTTTCCATTTATTGTAATTAAATCTTGAAAACATGCTGTAGGTGTCTAACATTGTGTCCACTGGTTTCAGTATCCATGCTTGTGTTTATCCTCCCAAATTCAAGGATTTAAGATGTTCTTCAATAAGCTAACACCTTTCTCAGCTTCCCCTTTTATTACACATATCAAAATATCCCCAAATTCAATGTTAGAGCACAAATAAAAAGTTTCCACTTTTGGAAGCGTTATTTTATTGTGTGACATTGTTGATGTACTTGCGCATTGCACCCTTGAAGGTGGATGGTAGGGTTTCACCACTTTCCCGGATTGGCCATCACTTTAGTGTTTTATCGCACCATCCATCAGGTCACATTCTAGTTTTGGCGACGTGTGCTCCTTGTTTAACTGACAGTCCGTGAAAGTTTTGTCCATCCGCAGTGCAAACAAAGCTCTGGCTCACTGTGCTACTGACGGTGTGATAACTCTTCTTCATACTTGTTTTCCCGTAGCCTTTCGATAATATGGCGCCGGCTGGATTCTCACTACTCTGTACTTTGTCTGCTCCAGGTGAATTTCCCTTTGTACCCTAATGGAATGACGCTCAAAGCCTAGATAAATACTGCTGTGATGCATTGGGAAAGGTAGCCAAATTTCATAGGTTGATACCATTATCACCGGGAGTGAGGTTGCCTCACTAACACTTGTTTGGTTGCGCAAAATACACACAAGATTATGCCTATTTATCTTCACACTAGAGACAGTTCGCAAACGGATTATGCACTTAAAACCTAATTGGGGAAATTGCACTCCTCATATCCATTTTTGTGTGTTTGAGGAGGTTTTTATTGCCCAAATCGTCCTCAACCATGTCAAAAATTCGGACAGAGTGTTGAGCGATCACACTATAACTCGTGTCGCACATTTCATCCCGATTCAATTGTCTTCCATGACCAGCTTTATTTCCCTCAAGGGACTATTGCCGCTCTACACCCCGCTTGTTGCAACTTTTCTGGAACTTAACTTTGTACGTTTTGTATTCGACTTGAATATTGTCCATTATGCTTCGTTAAGTCAAGTTTGTAATCTAGTGCATCACATAACAATGTTCCTCACACGTATCAATTTTTCCTATCACGTTTTTGTTGATTGGATGTGCTCCTGGTGCAGTCGAACAAATAAGTCTTGCCAGGTCAGATGCGATTTCATATTCTTCTATGAATGACATTACTGATAATTTAATTGTGTGAAAAGGACGAGCAACTGTGTCTTGACTATTTTGTACTTTTAATATTATTAATGTGACATATATTCGTAATGAAAGAAAGTATCTGAGGTGTTGATGGACAAGTGGAGGTGGGGGTCAAAAATCACCATAAATAAAATATTCCTTACCGTAGTATACAGGCTCTCCTAGATTTCATTTACAAGCACTGTTTCGGCTAGTCTTTTGGCATTTCGCCTTCCCACAGATCCGGTGCTTTCCTGCCGGCATAGTCTACGGAACACTTCGTTCATGACAAGCTCCTTGAAACTCTTTCTGAATTGCGCTGACATGGCGCAGTAAAGAATGAAATTCGTCGAGGAGTTAAGCAAAACAAGAAGGTCCAGTAGGTCTCCAATGGGTGCGTAAAAGGTGTAGAGGAAACAGTAGTCTTGGATGGCCACCACGGTAGTTATCACTCCCTGCGGCGTCTCTGTGATGATGAAACTCACCACCACGGCGACCAGCATCACCGTCGTTCGGTGGTTCCCTCTCGACTCGTGTTTTCCCACATCCTTTCCCTCCGTATCCATCGTTTGTTCGCTCATTAATGTCTTCTTTGGTCCCGAGGGTCCGTGCTTCAACTTCAGATATCTGCGCCTCGCCTTTTCCATGGCTGCCAGAATGAGCCCAGTGAAGAAAGCAATGAGTAGGCTGGAGGCTAGCTTGCTGAAGCACCCGTAGATGACGAAGTTGGCTCGGTCCACATAGTCAAGGCCCTCACGCACTGCGAACCAGTAGTAGTCTTTTGTGACGTTCTTTGGTACTATTGGAGGCGCCAGTTTGCCCACAACCAGGGTAGAAATACCAAGTACGAACATTGCGAAGCTGAGAACCGCCGCCACAGCAACAGTTTGCTTGATGTGCTTGTAAGACACCTGACACTGCGGACGATAGAGCACCCAACAGCGAAATGCAGCTAGCATCACAGTCATAATTGTTGAGAATATGTGTGCTCCTATTGCGGTGAAGTTTGTCAAGAGCACGAAGTAGATACCACCACGACCATGTGGTATAGTAATGGGATCTGGACTAGTGATGAAATGCAGGTAAACGTCTTTAGCTACGTACGCGATCATCGTCACCGAATCGGCAATGGCGATTGATGTGAGAAGAAGGTTTGTGGGACTGCGCATATGATTGTGGGTTAGAATGACTGCATTGAGTGTGTTCGTGAAGATACCGAAAAAACATATACCTAGGGAGAGGTAGGCATGGATTGTCTTATAATGCAGGTCGAAGGCCTCGAGTCCTGGATATCGGGTGCAGTTTGAGAGGTCGGGTTCAGGAGGCAGATTGAGCGCGCCGTTCGTCATGCCTTTTGCTTCTGACTGTGATCGCAACGTCACTGTTAATCTCGGTACTAAGCTATCGCTCTGATTGGCTGGTCTCTTCCTTCCCCATCCATTGGCCCGCTGTCCCTTAGCAAGTCTGGGTGCTTGTGGTCGTAATCCATTTTGCTGTTGAAAAATGCGAAAATCAATTATTTATTTCACTATAGAATTATATGTGTGTAAATTTATCGCACGTGAGAAGATGGATGTTTTATCTTGGAAACTTAAACCAGCATTTTGCTATGATTTCGACAATGGTGACTTGATTCTAAACAAAACTTAGAACGTGAGGCAAGCCACAGTCGCCTATCGTACCACCTTTGCTACTTTGCTTACTGCCGTTTTCTACAAAGGATAAATCTTGCTCATACTTATACTACCAACTTGAATAGGCACCAGGTTGCCTGTCTTTTCCACAAACCCTTTTTCATTTTACATCACTTCTTATTGTAAATTTCCTAATTTTACGAAATTGCGTACATACAACAAGTGTATCGTATGACCATTCTGTTGCTTATTCTCCACATTAGATTTAAAAGTGCTTGGTTTTTCTTCCTTGATGCCCAGCTTGCCATCAGCATCTCTTTTTCTTGAACTGACGCTCACGTGTTGTGCGATGGCATTACTAATATTGATGCACCTCTTGGGAATATACTATTTTCCACTTGCGAGATGACAATGTCACATAGAATAGGATTTTTATATGAGTCCCGTTTAGCATGACTTTGGGTACTTTATTCAATGTTAATAAGTGGCAGAACTGTGTCGTACGGCTAGTAGTGGTAGGCAAATATATGTTTTGAACTCTGTTACTTTATGCAGTATTTTTAATGTCTGCTGCTGTGCACTAGAGGTAGCTTTTTTTGGTATACCTTCAAAAAAGTGCAATAATTACTTTTCATATATTTTCTCATAAATGACTAAAAATCACTTGTGATATGTTTTCGAAACTGCATTATGTAATGTTGGTTGGAGAAAGAATTCCCGGAGGTGGAAACCGTGGACCTTTCTCCTAGAACAGGTTTACTTGATTCGAATTCACGAAACAATATTTCCATGCATTTTTGCGATCAAATCCTTTGGTAGTATTTGCTGGGTACTGCACATGTAGGTTTATAGAGTTTAATGTGTGTTTGTGAATGAAATACCTTTCGCTTGCAATGCGAAATTCGATTTCGAGAAAGCTGTCGGGCATTTTCGTGAGTACCTTGTAAAAAACTCCTCACTTTTAAATCTGGGCTTGAAAATGGAACAATTACTTTGATCTTTTTCTCATTATTTACGTGTCCTCTCGTTCGAGTTCTACATTCTCCTGAGTGTAGACTTGAAAGTAAATAGCTGCTCAGCTTGGTGCAATCGACGCCACCCCTCCATTTCTTTCTAGCTAGTCGTGTTTTTCGGGATTTTAACTCTAGGATTTTTGAGCCCTAAGCTTTGGTCGAAAATGCTTATTTCAAAGACTCGATGTATTGTGGAGTACTCTCTTGATTGCACGTATGGCAGTCAATTTATGTTGTTTTGTCTTTCTTGTTATATGCACCTGTTGATTCGCTCTGGTTTTTATGTCATCTTTCGGCTCCCTCCCGCTTTATCTTAACGGCGATTGACAGCTGCCGCCATCTATCTGCTAACTGTATCACTTACTCCTTTCCGATGCGTGCACCCGTGCCTACGTGTATGCGTATCGTGGTTTTAGTGGATGCAGGTGGACCTTTCGCGCAGAGGAAATTTGGCAGATTCATTTTGTTTGCTTTTTTTTCATTATAATTCATCTCAATACTGTGATAAATGTTCCTTGGTTTCTCTCCCTTGATCAAACCAACAGCTGCGCTTAGAAGTTTGCATAAGCAAACTCGATTGAACTTGTTATCATTTATCTATATCATGTCAACTTGGCTGCCAGATATGAATACCTCAATTTCGGCTGTTGATTATTCTTTGACACTGGTATATCCTTCTTCTCTTCTCACAGATGTGTAAAGTTGCCCACACCGAGTTGCGAAAACTCGCAGTGGACGCTATCATTCTGCTTATCAAAAGGGTCATTATTGTCACAACACCGACGTCGAATTTCTGGAATAACGCGGTAGGTCTCTGTGGGTATCTCCTTCACAAACATATTAGTGGCCATTGTATCCTCAACGTCACCCCTTCATCATTACGAAATCGAGCACAAACAAGATATTTCGCATGGATTATGGCCATCATTCGTTGCTTTCATTCTACAACATTGCATCTACCTCTTGTTATTTGTTATTAGTCTTGCAATGTTTTGTTAAAATCCTCATGGTATTGTTTCATTTTAGGAATTGACTCAACTCGTTTTGGAACCCCTGACACAGCTGACGGACATTAATTTCGACGATGTTCAGGAGAAGCAGTTGCAATGCGTTCAGTACCTCCTCAATTGCTATGGTGATGAGATTAATGGAGGCTGGCTTCGATTCATCAATATTATCGGATCAATCAGTCAATCAGATAGGTAGGCTTTGATTGTCAATTGCTTTTATTTTTTCTCGATGCGGTAAATATCATCTGTTGCGTTTACACCCATCTTACACACGCCGCACCCAAGCAAAACTTGATGCAGCAGTTGAAATGGCCTAGTAGAAATTTTATCACGAAGAGCTTTTGGTTTCTCCTTAGCAGTTGTGCAGATAAGCCCTCTCTTCATTAAGCAGCTGTAACCTTTCCATTTTAGTGTTGACACCTTTTGAAATCTTATTTACACTGCTTTTTGGCATTCCAATTGCACTTAATTCGTGAAAGATTGGTTTTGATATTTTCCCTACATAATGTGCGACCTAATGTCCGCAATTATGATTTCGATGTGCTCCTGAGAGTCGAGAGCGCAAATCCAGAATCGGTTATTGCTATTGTTAATTTGTTTTGTGAAATATGATCTAACTTTTTTCATTTCAGTGACAAGCATATTCGCTCAGCATTTCAGTGTTTTCAACTCGTTGTGACAGACTATCTGCCTACACTGGGTCTGGATTGCTACCCAGCGTGCGTGGACACTGCAGCCAAGTTTGGTCACCAAGAGCACGATCTGAACATTGCGTTAGCAGCTGTTGGCTCACTGGTATGTGCTAGCTATAGCGACTATCCGTTCTTTTTAATGGAGCGCAAGGTAACGCTAGCCGGAGTGGTCTCAAACATCAATACACACGTTTTTCTCACTACTGCATGTAGCCTTCGATGTATCGACTTACCTCGGTTAGCAACAACTAGGACGACCTGAATACAGTTCAATTCTATTAAGTATTTGTCTGCATTTCATGGTGATGGAATCCTCTCTGATAGAAAGAAATCTGACACCCTTCTTTTGTAAATTTGTCTCATCATCAAGATGTGATGCACTCTGCCATGGTTGTATTTTTTTCGATGATATCGGAATTTTAGAGCAGTTAAAGGACAGTCTCACGCCATTTCGCTCCCTATTCCACCTGGGTGCGCTATTGTTCCGGCTATGTAAAGTGCGTCTGCAAAAATCGTTTTGTAGTCAAAATCGATTCTGGTGCTGTTTGGATTTCATTTTGCTAGTCAATGGGTTTTATTATTATTTTCAAAAGGGGATGTGCAATTTGGATTGGAAAGTTTATTCAATTCCGCCTGTCGTCCGCGACAGCTGGTGTGGAACTCATGGAGTGCGCAGTTTGGTGATGTCCGCGACTTTTTCCACTGACATGCGCAAGCATGCCATGTGGTCGCACAAACATACTGACCCTAAAAATCAGGTTATCTATTTTCAACCCTTTGTTAAAATGGACTACTCTCTGATCACCTCCTTTTCAAAAGATTTTCTTATTACATCCTTAAAGTAGCGCCAGCATATATTTCCTCTATTTTTGTGATTACTGAATGTACTGGTGAGAACTCGATTCCTTGCATCTCTGGGGTTTTAATTTATGTACAATTAATATTAATCAAACCTTGAAAATAGTCTTCCCCCGTTTTAGCGGTTTTACGCTATTTTCCTGACAACTGTTAAATTGCTTTTTGAAATTGTGATTTGTTAATCATGTTGGTTTCTTGACATTGTACAGAGCTGGTACCTGACCCTCACACAAAGGGAAAAGGCGAATGGACCAGTTGATGTAAATTATCGATGGGTTCGTTTCTGAACTGCTCCCACTTAACATATAGATGCGTGCTGTTCCCTTCCTCCTGTCACTGGGTGTGATTGAAATATATTTACCTCGTTAAGTGCACAACTTTTACCAAACTGCTGTGGCTTATGCAGTCATTCGTTTAGCAAATAGTAGACCCCATTATGGCTTCTCCAAAAGCTGACGTATTGCTAGCATCACTTAGAAGTATTAATGTTACTTTACTGATGTGAACAGCTCATGGTAAAGTACCCCTTGAGGTTTTAATCCATAAACTTTATTTGCAGAATAATCTTCACAGACGAGTCTAGTTTGATTGGCTGCTTGGATATTGGAAAACTTACCGAGTCAGTTGAACGCACAGCTTAAACTATCACTTCTCACACATTGCCACAAAAGCCATGCAGAAGTTCCGTCCAATCGTAATAGAAAATTAGGACTTGCTTTTTTTCTATTTTCAACCGTTTAAAGGTTCAGAAACCAATGATGCGTTTTGTTGTAGGACCTCACCTCTGGTGATTCTATTGGCTCTTTTATCGTCGAACATTCATTAGCTTTTTTTTCAAATTAACCTGCAATGAATTCTGATTATCAGTGATAAACCATACTTTTCGTACTTTTGTTGGAATACAAAGGAATACCTTATAGCAATTTTGGGATGTATTAATTTCATAATATCTGTCCGATGTAAATCTTGATACATGAGGATGGCAACGATTTTTGATCCGTATCACTTTCAGGTCCTGTGACTTGTGAACTCTTGACAATTATTCTAAGGCAATTTTCGTCTTTATCTACTAGGAAGCTAGAATGGTTCTAACGTTTATTGTGATACTTTCTGAGTACCAATTATATTCTAACTACTTATCAAATTGCGTCATTTTCGCTATTAACCTGTTTCGGAGGCGTCGAAAACGAGACCGGGTATAACTAGGGGGCTGTTAAAAATACGATTCTAGCCTACGTGCAACTGCATTTCTGTTTTACGCTGTAGTTGCCATATTTTGCAAAGCTTTTGTCTAATACACCGACCATTCTACTAGTTGAAGCCGATTACAGAGGATACAAATTGTATGCTAATCATGACTTGATTGATACCGTTTACTGTTTGAATTTGTGCATGAATTGATTCCAATTTGAGGGCTAGAATTGAGATCCGTTGTTGCCCCATGTAAGAGGCCTCTAACCAACTTCGACGTCGCCTGAACATTGTAAGGAAGCACCCTTTATGCAAAGATAGAGACTGTTGCTTTCGTCTATTGGAAACGTATGATTTTCTTCGATGAAATGAACGTTAGGAATTTCTCTGCAATAAGTTTATTAAGTGCTATGCAGTCTAATTTCCCGCCATTTGGGGAAATTTCTTGCCTAAATAAATTTGTGCACTAACTGGCGACACTACTACCTACATCTCGCATTGACCTTGATCGTCTATCCAGTCCCATCTTATTTGCACGTGGTAAAAACCGCTTTTCCTATTTTCCCTATTATAATATCGATAGTCACTCTAATTTGGTCACATCAGTTTAAGGTGTCGGAAGCCATAGTATTTGTCGTGACTTGATTTTCTTTTTTTCCGTTTTCGATGTTTCCCTGACTTTTCTCCTGATTTTTGGGTTGTGCTATTCTTTAGGAAGCACGAGTACCAGTTCTTCAGAGGACACCTAATCAAATGGCTCTAATATCATTTGATTTACGTTTGGGGGTGTTTTTTATTCTACGACCCTCTAAATAGTTAAATCACTAACTACTACGATTAGATTGCGCCTGTATTGGTTACTCAAAGAATAGATCGGACTCGTCTTGTGCTTTCATCTTCACTCTTGCAGGATGTGGTGAGCCCTAGCTCAATAAATCAAAAATACTCAGAGCTTGAGACGTTGGATGGAGAGGCCTTTAATTTCCATTCTGAGTAAACACAGGAATGTCGCTCGATCTGAATTCATGTTACGTTTGCATTGTATATAAATATTTCGCAGTCTCAAAAAATAGTAATTTATGCTTACTTATGCAGTTTATTAGCTCTTATCTATGTGCACTATCTGCAATTGCGAGTCAAATTTTTCGTCACATTTTAAATTCAGATTTCTCTTATCATTCTGACCAATCCAAAGGCACCACGCACTCTCATAATGATATCTTCTTCTGATCAGTCCATATTGTTTAGGAAGAAAAATGACAAATTTGCTAATTTTGAGGAAATTTGTCAAATTTCTACTTTTCTTGCTATTTTCGACCTATATAGCGTACCATATGGGGCAAGAGGAGGTAGTAAGTTTTCGCAACAGTATTTCATATTCTAAACTCTGTTTTTAAGGCTAATAACCACTCAATCAACTTTAAAAGTTTAGTCCTTCCAGGATACACTTGATTAGAATCAGAATCATATATTTTTTGGAAGAGGTACACTGCTTATGAAATGCATTGGTTATGTTTTCTGCATGGATCGAATAACCACATCCATGGTATCTTTGTGGGACGCATCTGGCAAAAGTAAAGCTTGATTATTACTCTAGCTGATTACTGAATAAATCCACAACAAAATTTCACAACGTCTTTACTTCTGTGGTATTTCAGTCCTTACTTTTTCACAGGCACAAAACAGCTGCTAATGTGAAGCCAAATGTCAGTGGTGCTACTTTCACTAGTATCTAGGCGGTTGCCAAATTGTAAATTGCTTGTATGTTTCTAATTTTGTTCACTAATGTTATTCCTAACAGGCTCTCCGATTGTCAGCCTTTTTGAAGGTTCATAATACATTATTATTAAAATTGTTTTTGAGATAGAATCGGGCTTGCGGATGATAAAAAGCCTACAAAAATATGTTGGTACTTTTTATCGGGGCTTTTTATTCATATTTGGTCGCCATAACACACGTCCTCATTTGAAGATAGGTTTTAATATTTCAATTCCATGAACTTGGTTTTATTAGTTTCGGTAATCTTCCTTCAAACTGGCAGTCGATTGATTTGAGTCTTGAGACCTGATGGTAGCACTGATAAGCTTATTTCATTCATCTTATTGAAAACACAAATGTTTTAATTTGCAAAACTTTTTCGAGAGTGTGAAGGAAATCTATTATCAAAATTCTTCGACTTCAGGCGTTCGCACGCTTTTGTGCATCTTTCGGCAGCATCACCTACCTCTATCCCTTGTTCTTTTTACTAGTCAATCGGAACGACTAATGGTAGTCAATGGAATCTATTGAATTGGATCCTTTTTACGCCGACAATGGGCTTCAGCCATGCAAAATAAATATTGTTATTTAATGAGAAGGGTCATTTGGTAATAAAAGTCCTGTTATCAGGCTTTCGTGCTTTGTATATCTTTTATCGCACTAGTGGCGTTACTACTTTGTCTCTTATGTATGGTTCCTTTGGAAACTAATTCTTGAGTGGTTAGCGTGATCACTACTGGAAAATATTAAGATTTCTCTAATATACTCAAAAAGTGTACTGATGTCTCACGTTCCTCGGTATTGTTGCGATATCCTGATGCAACTAGCGTTTCATCTTACGCTGCCATTAGCGAAAAACTTATATTTGTATGATGGCTTTAACACTCCGTAATTTTGTAAATTGCTGAGTTATTTTTGACTAAAGGCTTTTTTGACCTATCAGATCATGAAATAGAAAGAAGTCGCCTGAGAATAACCTGAAGATGCCCCTTCAGGTTTGGGGAAAAGTGCTGACAAATGTTGCAAAGGGATTAAGAGCGATTAGAAACTCAAATTCACTGTTTTGGCGTGCTGGTCGCAAGGATTACCCTTGTCGCGTCCGCTTCAACTTCGTGAAATTGAGGCACCGCTTAGTCGCCAGCGCCCAACTACTGATTGTGCTATGGCATTGTTCCGTGGTCGAGGAAATGCATTGTTTTCTATTAGAGATTTCATCTAGTTCTGTCTTTTTTTACCTTTTGTCGTGACCGAATAGTTTTATATTTGACTTTGTGAGTAAATGTTAATTATCGGTAAAATTGTCCATTTAGAGCCTCGCTAAAACGATTGCTCTCATTTTTTTCTTTCCTTTTGCTCGACGCCTTAGTGATGCTAAATCAGTTTTCATGAATCAATTTATGGCACAGAATTTCGGCGATTTTGCATAACAACCTCATAGGTACGAATACTAAGAGACCAACCAAAAGTTTAGTTGTACGACCTTTAAATGCAGTTAGCGTGACTGGGAAGGGACTTTAACCTTACATGCACTTTGGCCTACGTAACATTGTGTCAACATTCTAGTCTGGTAACTATGCTTTAAGTGTCGAATTGATTCTTTCTAAGTGGGATCATTGTCCTCCCGCTACTTTCCAAATCATCTGTTTGTATTTATTCTTATGGCATTTATATAGCACTTCATCAAACGCATAATCCTTTTCTCACTACCTAATGGTTTCGTCTTATAAATATCATCTTGAACCATTCGATTACAATTTCTATAGTTTGATCCGATACAAAATTTCTCATCGCTTTCTATGCTTTAATAAAACAAACCGTTTTATTAGATATTGTTTTTTTGCATCGCTAAGGTTTCCGACTGCTTTTTAACCTTTGCTTTGTCAAAGTCTCGGAGAAAATTTTCTGATAGCATCACTGTCACTAGTTTATTTTTAATCAGGCCATCTTTCAATGACTCCCTCCAGGTTTTATGCTAGCCATACTCCCCACTCGCATTCCTAATCCAAGAACACTTCTTATTTTACTAACTCATGAGATTTTTACCACCAAGCAAGCGTGACAAGTATAAACTGAGGATTTTTAATAGTGTTCTTTCATTTTTGACCAATGCACTTTCTCCTCTGTGTATGTGCGGTCGTGAATTGCAGCTTCATTTGACGGACTTTCTGTTCCAACGCGAACGCTCGACTCCGGAGGAAGCGAGACAGATCGAACCATTGTGGGTGACGGTCTTCCGTCACTTCTCCACCCTCGTGCGCGACCGAAGGCCTGCAATGCGAAAGTCGGCCAGTCAGACCCTCTTCAACGCCATTGAATGTCACAGTGCCCAATTCGTTCAGGACACGTGGTTTGAACTCCTCTGGACGGTAAACGCCCCTTCTCTTCCCGCAGTGCTCGCTCCAGTTACCAGTTTCGTGCTCTTGCCTGTGTCCAAGGCCTTTTTTTAACGATAACGTTCTCTTTTTTATGACCGTGTCACCCCATAGAGTAATAAATATTGACGTTAGTTTTCATGTCTTTCTACAATAAGCGTTAAACTCAATCATTTCTTATCTCTTTTTGATCTACGCCATTTCAAAAGCTTCTAATAGACAGTTTTTCTCAAGAAATCCAGCAATAATTATAAATATTGAATGGTCTTTCGTTTTTCTGAAGATCATTTTAGTATTCTCATAACAACTTCGTTTTGCATCTACTTTCAGGGGCTATTTTCGTTTCGACTACATTTTATCTGCCTCCTTTCAAGTGTCCCCTGCTTTTCTAGCCTCTAAACCCTTTTTTACTGCACACCCGGTTTCTAAAGACTTGCAGCATTTACTATCATGGTTTTTGTGGATTCATCCTTATCTTGGTGGGATAAGTCCGACCTCACTGCGGGTACTAACTTATATACATAATGTGTCAGTATTAAGTTCATTTTCGGACATTATTCCTTCCTCTGCCATCCTTAGAATGATTCTCGTTTATCCTGTAAAATATTCTCCACAAATGCTCTCTCCATAACTACTGCAATAATCCCTGTAACTACTGCTAGAGATAGGCATAGAACTAATTGAAATTTTAATATTCAGAGTTTGTTAAAATGGAAGCATTTCAACTCATCCTGGCGGCTTGTATGCGGTGCGTTGTAGGTTTTCTTTCCGCTACTCTCGGACGTGCAGGATCACTGTGCAAACGCACCGATGGAGCGGGAGGGCCGCAGCGGCAACCTCCTCGTGCACCACTCTCGCGACACCGCGGCAAAGCAGTGGGCCGAGACCGTGGTGTTAACCCTTTCCGGCGTCGCGCGCTGCTTCGTTTCCAAGCAGTCACAGCTCGTCTCTCTTAGTGAGTGCATCCACTTGCCGTCAATAAACACCCCACCTCTCCTTATTGAGATTCGAATCATAATGGGTCCGTAGGAATGTTTTGTGTCCCTATGAAGCCCAATCATGGGCGAGGAGAGTCAGAGCCGCAGAGAAAGTAACGTCGTTCTCTCGGGTAGTCCCCAAGTACGCTTGAGGAACATTAGCTCACGCACCGAGTGTATAGCCAGGCATTGGTCATTGGTGAGGGGTTGGTAACGCATTACTCAGATGGGTGCTCACGCGTCTGATTGGTTTTCTTGACTTATTGATAGCACTGTGTCAGCCATTAACGTACGGACTGCTGCTTTAGCTCGCAAAGGTCGACTTTTTTCTACATTAATACTTTTAATCGGAATGCTAATGCTGGCATCCTTCGTACATTATTATCGGCACAATTGAAGCGGCTTCCAAAATATAACAGATTGGTTGAATATCTTCATTACCTATCCAGATTTATGGTTTAGTACCAAACCAGTCAATGATAGGCCATCAGTTCAAAATGTTGCTCAGGTCAGTCCCATGCACCACATCACTCGTTTGAGCAAAATTTGAAAAAACGTAATTGATACAGCTCATGAACCACATACTTGAGGTGTTTTGGTAAAACCATGTATCATCAATTTCCTCTCTCTCGCTCCCTCTATCCTCATGGTATGATCCTCTGAAATTCCTGATTGACCTTCCATTCTTCCATTTCGACGCAAATTTACTGTAGCTCAATTATCTACCTTACACTTCTTTTACAGCACTAATTTCCTTCCACTTTGAAGTGTATTTTTGGTTCGTTTATCGGATCTCTGGTGATTTGAGCTTTTTAACACAATTGTCGAGACGTCCGAAATTTCATTGATCCAAAGCGTGGGCGCTTGGTGGTTAATATGATCATGCCTATTCGCCGACCGGCTCTCGTCTTTGCACCCAGCACTCGCTCGTTCCCTTCTCCTTCAGCCGTTTGCCAAATAAGACCATTTCTTTTGCATTCTTCTCTCTTTCGGCATAGCTAATCTCGCTTTATCACTGTTAGAAATTTTTCCCTCTATTTTTAGTGGTTCAATTTTCGGGATATCGCTCCCGTAACTATTTGCAGTCATTGCTGTGAAAAAATTAAGAGTACAAGCATATCTGATTTTACTGTGGCAATGCCAGCATAGTCAAAAAGCACAGGAATAAAATTTTTACTGAGTCCGATAATCAAGCGGTTTACCATCACTTCACTGTTTTTCAGAGCTTCGGTCTTTGAGCTCAAGACTGTGACAAGTAGGATTCTAGAAATGGCAGTTTTTTGGTTCACCGTGCCTTTCTGTAATTAAGAGAAGCAAGATTTCACTTAGCTGGATGTTTTTTAGCTTTAATTCGAGGCTTTTGAGTTTAGAAAAATGGTCTTTATGAAAGCGGGGGAAGTTTCATTGTTCTATAGTTCGGAATTTCTCCAAAAATGTGAAGTTATTGCTTTGCTCATTAGGTCGTGCGGAAATCCACTAATTCTGTTCCAGAATAAAAATAGCGCCATTTTATCGGTGTGCTCCGAAATGAACCTTGTCAACGGTAAAGGTCACCTCACTCCATGTTAGTCCAAAGCCGCACACTCGGTAGAACTACTGTTCTCGTATGATCTACTCGCTGAGGCTATTTTACATTATTAGTCCATGCTTCACCTAGTGTCGTGTAAAGTAGATTATTATATTAGTTCTGTGCGAAGCGACGAGTTCCAATGAGCAATTCCAAATCTATTTTTATTCTATATAGATAACTACGTCACTGTTTTGCATATTCCTGCAGCAATTCCTTAGGAAGCAGTGTAACAGCTCGTAAATGGTGTGACACCCTAAGACTTTGTATATATTTTGCGCAATCGGGTGCATATGCCCATCACAAAATTGACTGGTTCAGCTATTCTTAGTGTCTTGCACTCATCGCCTCCCGCAATCTTCAGCATTGAACTATAAAGCTAATGGTTAAGATGTACTTAAATTGTTAGCCACTCTCTGCTTGCATGCATAGATTTGAGAACACGAAAAATGATATATGGGCTTTGATAGAAACACTTTCCTGTATGTGCGCTCAATCTCTGTTTACTGGACGCAAAGCTAATTTTAGAGTTTAACGTGAGAATCGGAGGTCTGTTTATCTGAATTACTTATAAAGAATCGAATTCCAAAAAGTTAAGCTTAAAGCATTTTGAACAACGGAAAATCACCAATTTTGTTGGCATCAGGGTTTTTCTCTCATCGTTAAGGTTAAATGAGAAGTTGTTTTCTTAAAAGGGGCCCTCACAAATGCGTTAAATGAGCAAACAGCTTAGGTGTTATTTGATCTGGTTCAAGTTAACCCCAATGCTGCTGCTTGAATGTGAGC